TTTCTTCCTTCTTGTGCTCATTTGTTATTAGCTCCCCATTTCCCCCCAACCGATACATTTGCTTTTCATGGTTTCTCTCACTCTTTTCCTCCCCCACCCCGTTTCCCTCTTTCTCACTTCCCTTCTCTCCCCCCTTCCTACACCCCTCACACCCCACACTCCTTCCCAGGGGGCGGGTTTTGACGCACGGGGATCCTAGGTTAGAAAGTAGGACTGCTGGGTCGTGTTTCCTTGGCTGTAATCTTTATGGAAATGGACCACCAGGCCTTTCCTACACAGCACCATTGGGCAGGTGTCAACCGCCAAGTTTAGGTAAGCAGTAGAGCACAAACCCTGTATGCTACCCAGAGACCCTCACCTGTGGAAGAGACCTTCAGAAGGTCCATTACCTTATTCCATTTCGCACAAACTTTTTGAAGCCCCCCACCTATCACACATGCGCGCATATACATACGTATGTGTGTGTGTTATGCATGCTAGTGTTGTTCTCAACAACTAGAGAGTGGTGTCCTCATATGACGGATTCTCTCCATTCTAGAAACCTTGACTCTGTGATTTTTCGGTATGCGTTCCCAAAGAAGAACATAAACACAGTAGCATCCTTTACCTGGAGCCAGCATGGCTTACAATGTCCCTTAGGCCACAAGCTTTACTCTGATGTCCCCAACTCTTCCACTGACGTGCTTCCTGGTAAACGAGACTCCTGGGTTAAGTCAACGGTCCCGTGTCTGTGGTCTCTCTCATTGCGCTAATGGTACAGCGGTTTAAGTGCTCCGAGACCCACGGAAAAGGTCAGTGAGTCGAACCCACCAGCCATCCTGACAGAGAAAGAGGTGGCCATCTGCCTGCCTGGTGATCACTGACCGCCCTGGAGGCTCTGTGGGGCAGTTTTACCCCGTCCTCTGCCAGGATCCACTGGACCACAGTGGGGCAGGTGTGACTGCTGTTTTTTTCATCTGGAATTGTTTCTCAGTGTTTGTCTGTCTTCCCTGCGGTTGGCAGTTTTGATGAGCGCAGGCCGGACGTGTGGTAGTGTTCCTCGGTTTTGCCTGATGTTTCCCTGCGCTCAGAGCTGGTTCTACCTCATTGGTGGCAACAGCGCGCCTGTGTTCTTAGTGCTGCATCGAGGAGGCACTGACGTCAGTCTGTCCTGGCCCCTGAGATCTCCTGCCACTTGCTTAAGAAATGGTCTGCCAGGGTTCTCTACTATAAAGCCACTTATTTTCTCTTTAAAATCAATCAATTATCTTGTGAAGTGATGTTTGCCTGAATCAACGACTATGCCGGTGTTCTAACTCTATTGTTCTGCATTGCTGGTTGGCATTCTAATGTTAGGAAGAGACTCCCTTCTTCGCAATGTGTGTATCCGTGTCAGGAGCGCTCTGGTGGTGCGGTGGTTATGTGTTGGGCTGCAGTTTGGAACCACTAGCAGCTCTGTGGGAGAAAGGTGACATTTTCAACCCCAGGAGGAGTCCAGTCATGGAAGCCCCTGGGGGCAGTTCTGCCTGTCCTAGAGAGTTGTTATGAGTTGGCATTGACTTCATGGCAGCAAATATGTATGTCTGAGTGTGTGGATATTGATTTCATTCAATTTTGTGTATCTATTTGACAGCAACTTTAAAAAAATCCTTTACATCTCTTATTCTTTTGTACCTGAGTTGGCCAGTGGGAACCTCCTTTAAATGGACTCTTGGGGTCTGTACACTTCATTATTTAAGTACTTGCTTCCTTTTGGTGCAAGATGTTGGAGACCCCAACCCCTTCTCCAAGGAGGGCCCTCCCTGAGTCTTGGCAAAGGAGAATGATAGTTAGCAGCTAGGTGTGCTCCTTGCTACCTCCTTTGTCCACTGGTTCCCACCACTCTCCCCAGAGACCCCTGGCACAAGATCCCCGCCTTGGACCCCGAGAAACTCAACGTCTTCCGGACAGTACGGGAGATCACAGGCGAGTGGAACGGGGGAAGGGGGTACCCTTGCTGGGAGAAAGAGCGGTCCATCGGCAGGGATTGAAGCATGATTGCTTGAGAAAATCATGCCCCAGGCAACTCGGGAGGGACCGAGAGAGAGACTCTGAGGAAGAGGAGGGAGGGCAAGGCTCCCTGCTTATACATCGCTTCCAACTCCTCAGGTTACCTCAACATCCAGTCCTGGCCTTCCCATATGCACAACCTCAGTGTCTTTTCCAACCTCACGACCATCGAGGGCAGAAGCCTCTACAAGTGAGTCCGGGCTGTGGAGGGGCTGCGTTATTGTGCAGTGCAATGCACCCCGCTGCTTAGGCATCTTCGAGGGGAACCCAAGGTGCCGTCTCATGCTGAAGGAACCTGAGTGGCACAGTGGGTTAGGCCTTGGGCTGCTAGCTATAAGGTTGGCAGTTCCAACCCACCTGCCCCTCCTCGGGAGCAAGATGAGGGGGCTTGCTTCTTGCACAATTCACAGTCTGTGCGTTGGAACCCCCCCAGGGTGGTGGGGGGCGTCATTCCTCTCCTACAGCAGGCACTGGGTCTCAGAGGCTGAGTGGGAAAATGCAGGTGGAGGGGGATTCCCTCGCTGTGAGCCTGCATTGCCCAGCGTGCCCGTGGTGGGTAAGAATGGATGCACTG